ATAATTTTAGTATTTTTTATATATAAACCTGAATCACATTAAATTTTAGGTGTTCATTCTTCTCATTAAGGTGTACCTAATAAAAATATTTAAAAAAATTAATTTGTAAAAAACTAAATTGTCCAAAATACCCCTAAAAGTTTCAGATGTATTTTGGTTCATTTATTTTTTTGCGAATTATTTTTTGATATTTTTATTAGATTTTATTATATTTTAATGATAAATTATCAAAATTTCAAGTGATTTGAATTTGCAGAAAAAACATTAAAATTCAAACATGAAATGCAAAGGTAACCATTGGATAGGCCGAGATTGAATTTGGACTATTGGGCTTACACTGTAGCTGTTAGCTAGTGAGCTAATCCTAGAATACCATCTAACTTTAGAATAGGGAGGTCACAACTAATCATAAGCATCAAATGTCAAATCAGACAATTCAAACCACTGTTTTAAAACCCAGCGATTTTCAATCCGGGTCATTGATCCAGATGCGGAATTGCTTGGGACAGAATTGGTTCTAGAATGATATAGGTCCCGGCCCGGATCCACACTATAATCCCTATTTCTATTTTTTTTCCTGTTTTATTTAAGATTATCTAATATTTTGTGTGGTCACCCCTAAATCTCTATCCCATAAACATCTATTTCAATTTTAATTTATTCTATTTATTTATTTTACTTTTTATCATTGATCCAGATGTTTCGAGAATGTTTCGGATCACCGATCCATTTGATCTAGACCAAGATTGGAGCTGGGTGATCTGCTTCACCAATCTTCTTTTTTAAACACTCAGTTCAAAGTATTTCATAGAGTTCGAAAAAAAAATATTTGGACTTTGAGCTTGATCAATCACATACTATTACCTTTCTGATTTCAAATCTAGCAACTAGGAGCGACTGTGACCTCCTTATACAAATAATCTTACTGTATATATTTTGTTTTTAAAAAATAGTTTGTACCTGGCTCCCTAAACCGTTAAGCAGGATTTGACCGAGCCTGGCCAATGCCCACCCTTACTTGAAAATGCTTGCACCTCTCCTGACAACTCAGACCAAAAGTATCCATTTTCCCATCGCAAGCAAAAGCACAAGCACTAGCACTAGCACTAGCACTTGCACTTGGGCATCCCTGCAGAGATGGGTAAACTAAGGCCTAGGCCAGCCATGTCACAACAACTCGATACGCAAAGGGCTGGATTGAGTCGGGCTTGGGCCAGAGTGGGCTGGCCTAATCCAACCCTTTCTTTTCCCTTTATTGTTATTATTATTATTTCATTTTTTAGCATATCCAGCCCTGCCTAACAAAGGCTGGGCTTGAGCTTGGGCTACTTAGGTCCAGTCCAGGCCTGAAGCAGCCCGAACCCAATTGAGCTAACACCAGGGCTGGCCCAACAGCCTCTTGCTCCCAAGAAATAATTAACCTCAACTTTATAGTCAAAAGGTAAAATTACCAAATCTTTTGACAGAAGACGGGTGATAGTGCCTCTTGCTGGGTCTGAATTTTTATGAGAAGTGAAAGCTCTTTTAAAAGATAAACTTAGTAAGTGGAGCCACCCGTTTCAGCCAGTTAGTAACTTAAATTAGAAACAAAAAAAGTTCTTTTTTATATATGGGTGTGGTTTGTATAAGGTCGAGGCTCTAAACAATCAAAGTAGGGCACACCTTTAAATAGTATGTTGTTTCAGTATCAGAAATCTTTAGAATGGTCTAAAAATTTATTTTTAACTCTAATTATAAAACTTCAAATTAAAAAAAAAAGTGTAGATTGTGCAGTTCTATGAACATTTGAAAATCTTTAAAACTGATGGTCTAAATAATACATTTAAGACTTGAAATTTATTTTTTTTCATTTGGTACATCTTGAGGTCAAGATGATCAAATTGATCGAAACAATATTTTTAATGAATTTTGAGGTGTACCATAATTTGATTGTTTAGGACCTCACCCTTATATGAACTTTTTCCTTTATGTATATATAGCAGTGGCCTAGGCCACTAAGTATGGTCCAAGGGCCAAGAAGAATAAAATCTACGCCTTGTGGCCACGCTTCAGCTAGTGCCCATAAGTAGCCCAGGCCAACATGAAAAAATCATGTATACTAGAATACCATCTATCTTTAGAATAGGGAGGTCACAACTAATCCTAACTATCAAATGTCAAATCCGATATTTAAAGCAACATTTTAAAACCTGGTGATTTCTGATCCGGTTCGCCGATTTGGATACAAAATCGGTCAGGACCTCCATTTAAGTTACCAAGTCCATTTCAATAAGTGGAGCCATCCTTTCCAAAGCAAAATTTCTCGAATGTCGACACGCTCTAAAGCCTGGCCCATCAAGATAACCTGTTTCCATTTAGCTCTTTCATACCATCTGATCTAATTGTTTCCATTTAGCTCTTTCATACCATCTGATCTAAATGGAAAAAGATACCAACTCTTAAGTGGTAGCCCAAAAAAAACCTGAAACCCTCCCTTCTCCCCCTCATGCCTTGTCTCTCTTTAAAACCTCTCCAAAAATCACCTCTCGTTTTCCCTATGGTCTTCCCCTTTTGACTTCTTCTCTAGAAACCCGAGAAATATACAAATAAGTCACCATCACTTTTTTATTGGATGTAAAATACAATTTATAAAAATATGTTATACCATTCGAGAAATTTTATTTTGATTTGTGTCCAATCAATGACATATCGTCAACTACCCAATTTCAAATCTATCAATGATGACTTTGATCCCCTTGCGTCAAAAAATACATGGTTTCATTATAGACATTTCTATACGCAAATTACTCCTACCCTTCCCTGAAGGGAGGGTAAGTTGCCAAAAAAAAAAACAAGTACTGCACCGCGTATTTGTGCAAAATTTCGAGCCCAATAAGGACTTCAAAATCTTAGTTGACAGAGATTATGGAGAGGGGATCTAGCGAGGTAAAGAGGTGTACGTTGGGCTTCCTGGTGAGACACAGATTTGTGGCTTGTCGAGGGCAGATCTAGAGGGAGGTTGGCTTGCACTAGGAGATTCACACAGAGAGAGCGAGAGAGAGAGAGAGAGAGTCCCAAAAAGCAGCTAAAACCCTTAATTGTTAAAAGAGAGATTTGGTACTTGTGGGCAAATCTGGTTGGAGAGAGAGAGGTCCATGGCCCATGGATCATGCAGAAAGAAAAGAGGTGGGCTAGGGCGTTCCATTGTTCCTTGATTCCAATCATTTCTCTACTCATCAATTTCAGCTCAAAGCCTAGGTCCATACAACAATGGAGGTGGCTCTAGCTCACCCCTGGCTTTGATCTTCCTCGAGCACCATGGAAATGGCAGGTACACCATTGGGGATAGAGAGTTCTGTTTTTATCGGGAGCATGTACATCAAATTGAAATAGGAGAGACAGAGAGATATATATTTGCAATGGAGGGAGAGAGGGTTCATTAGGTGAGGTACATGTGATGGGTGAGAACACCAGACTGAAATCCGGCTGCCTGAATGTCACCTCACTTTCTTGAGGTTTTCATGAAAGAATGCATGAGCAGGCATGAAAGAAGCTGTTGAGAGGAGCTTCTAAACCAGAACGAGGATGTACTCCAATTCATCAAAGTGATCAACTTATCAAAGACACAAAAAAGTTGCTCATAAAAACGACCCAAAAATCCTGTTTCAAACTGTGAACACACAAAACATGCACATGGGTACACAAACAGGTATATATACGTATATAAAGAGAGAGAGATGAGCTTCCATAGCCACTGCACTGAACATCTATATATTGCAGGATTTCTCTATAAATGGGGCTACAGGTGGACACCCGAGAAGCAAAAAGGCTCAGACCAAGCCATTGCTGAAGAACTCATGATTTTGCAACTGAACTAGAAAGGTTCAAGGTTCCACCAAAAATAAAAGAAGTTTACAAATTTTTACATACAACCCCAGTTCATTCATCTAAAAGCCTAATGGAAAGATGCATCCATGGAACCATGGCAATGTGACAAGATATGCACAAGGGATCTTAAGGTAAAAAAAAAAAAAAGGTACATTTTAGCCACTTCCTATTCTTCAGAGACTGCAAAAAAGGGAATCCCCCTGGTCAAATAAAACACACAAAGTTAATCGAGAGAGAGAGAGAGAGAGAAAGAGAGAGAGAGAGAGAGAGCAAAGCAGGATAAATCATCTTGAAGTAACATATTACTATACTGATCAGGTTTTCTACAGGAAAGTTTTTTGAGTTTAAAAGTGGGACACAGTTTCTATGCATGCCCACACGAAATCTCCACTGTCCAACTGACTTGAACGGTGGCGATTGCACAAATATCTTACAATCACCACCATCTAAGTCAGTTGAATGGTGGAGAGTTCATGCGGGGATGCAGGCAGGCCAGCATGAAACAATTAACCTTAAAAGGGTAAGCCCATTCAATCATTGATGTTAGCACTTTTCAGGAGAGGATAGTATATATGTATCATTTTTTGTGCAGATAATATGCCAAATGCATAGGATAATCAATTGGCAGATCGAAGAGCATGTCTCATGGCAGATGGGTACATACTCAAATTCCAATTCCAAACAACGATTCAAAACTCCACAAGACAGCCATTTTTATGGAAATATGTGGGACAAAATTGTCAATCAAACTATAAAATCTTCCTGTTTCTTTCTCTTTCTTTTTTTTTGTTTCGGTTTCTGTCTAGTAGTCATTTTTTGGTGTTAAATTATCAATAATTAAATAGTAATAATAATAACTCACCAGCCTCCATGCCTAGAGAAGTAATCATTGTCTAATGATACGGCTAGGGCTACTGCCACAGCTCTCTCAGAGAGAGTCAATGCTCGAGTAATATCCAATTCTTGAACCTGAGCAGTATAAACAACAGTATTAAAGCATTTATGAGAAGACATTATGATTTAAAAAAAAAACTCTGATAATAATAATGATGATTTTTATAAGATGGTAACAATAATTATAAAAATTATAGCAATAATAACCTGTGCAGCTGCTCCAGTCTTAGAGCTTGGATCTGCATGACCGAACCTGATCACATATTGCCCTGCATCAGTAAAGAGCTGCAAGGGTATAAAAACACCATCATGTTAAGGCTTCTCTTTTATGCATTCCACAACCTCACATCGTAAATTGTGATGAACTACATTAGAAATGATAAGATTAGCGAGACATTTTCTACTATATACGGATAAGGAATTATGGAAGTGGTGAAAATTTAGAGTGCAAAGAACTCTGAGTCAATGAATTGACACCAAATTTATGAGTTCTCAAACATTGTTCACAGATTCTCAAACAGTGATAAAAGTTATTCATTGTCAAATTCACAACTATAGATAATGATACATAACTAAAAAGTTAATGTGAATTAAAGAGAATAACACTAACATCCTATATTTATTAGAAAGGAATTTAAGAAGTCCATCCAGAGCATGATATCCACAAAGAGGATAGCCACAACATCACCACAAATTACTATAACTTTCCCAAAACTGAATTTCATCCCAAGAGCCTCTTAATGGTATATAACTATGCATTGTCAATTTTGTGGAACTAGACCTCACGAAAGAAAGATAACAGAGGCACTAAAGAAATATCATGGCCTTCTACCAAAAAAACAAAAAGAAAAAATTAAGATTCATATCAATCCCAAGTCACACACACAAGTGTTACACGAGGGTGTTCTTTGGCCAAGCCCATAAAACACCCTTTGATCCTAAGATATAACATAATATTTTGTTTTGATTTTTTAACTTTATGAATGATAACTGATCATGATTATTTTATTTGATCGTGAGAAGAAACTATTATTGATGGATTTTCCCCAAAACCTTCAAAATTTTATTTATATGGTACTCTTTACTTGAACCAGAAATGTTTTTGTCTTTATAAGCTCACTCCCTTGTTGTGTAGAGACAAACCTCGAAGCCAATTCCCCTCCAATCACGGTCAATTTCAGCCAACACGTTCCCATTAATATCCTTCAATGTAAATGTCCAGTTCCAAAACCCTGGATTTTCAACCACAGCAAACTGCTCTTTTCTGTAATGACATCATGCAAAGCACACCAAAGTAAATAGAATTTAACTCTTCCCAATGGTCACTACTTGAAACTGGATTTCTGCTTCCCTATTACCAATTCATGCAAAAATAGATCATTACGTGAGATGAGACAAAGAAGAGAAAAGAGCATCATGTTCATGATTGGACTCCAGGAAAAATAAACTAATATTAAGAAGCTTGTTTACATCATTTTATAATAGAACTTGAAGATGGTGCAAATATGGAAGGATAGAGCGGTACAAGGACATGAAAGCACCTGTAACAATCAAGTACAAGTTACATTTATAACTGGTCCCTCAAAAATTCCAGAACCCTCCCTCCCTCCCTGAGTGTGTGTGTGTTCCATGTAAAAAACTCCCTCCCTCCCTGAGTGTGTGTGTGAATTCCATGTAAAAAACTGGAGAGCAATAGCAAGCATTTTCTTTTACCTAGATTCGAAAAATTGCTTGTATGACAAAACAAAACAACTTGTATATTACAAACCCATCAAGATTTCCCTATAAGAGAACAAAGGTAATCTGCATAGTTATTTTTCCACTCTGAATAAATCTCAAGAAAAGCTTACAAACTCCATAAGAAATAAGTCATTGACAAACTGTTATATATTATATGACATGAAGACAGGTTTCCTACTAAATCTACTAGGGGTTTTCTGGTGTCAGATCCTGAAACTCTATTATAGAAAATTTCAAAGATAAATTATCAGGTAGAAAATAAGTCTTAACTTGTCAAAATAGAATGTACCATCATTGCCATGGAAATATTTTGATGAGGACGCAGGAATGAGGAATTTAACCAGAGTTACCGCATTGAAATTTGTTTTATGGAATCAAGTGAAGATATTTGTCAATCATCTCTATAAAACGCCAAATCCAATGGAAGCAAGAGTACATCCTATATTACTACGGTAAATTTGTTTCAACTCCTCTTTTTTTCTTTTCTTTTTCTTTTTCTTCTCTCCAAATTAGTCATTTTTCACACATCTCATTTATAGATTTTAAGAGTCTTGTTCAGGAACTCAGATGACAACACTAAAAGTGACTTGAGGGAGATCTCAAGACTTGATTGCAAATCTATTTAAAAAATAAATCTCAGACGAAGTTCTCTATTTTATTGAAAAACTCATGTGCTGGACTCCTCAAGTGGCTGAACTATATGGCCCATATAGGACAATGGAAAATTTTTGAAGGTTACGATAAGGTTTTGAGAGTTTTTGACATTTTGCCCAAAATTTCTATTCCTTGACTTGCATGTACAAATCACAATCAGTGGAAATTTCTAGAATCGACTTGTTCCCTGGATCCACAGTTTGTTCTACTTAAATAATCAGGGTTAGAGAATCAAAGGTTTGGTGCTATCAGTGTATGAGACACAATGGACTGTTACTGGAAATTCCAGGAGATATCTGTACATTAAGGTCTGATATTCTGTCTGTATTTGTATCAGTTTTCATCCAGTAGATTTCATCATTTCCAGATCAATCCCTCTTTCCAAATCGAAGACACAGATACTAGGCTCTCAATTGTTTGTAGATAAATTTTGGTTACCTCTATTAAATTTAGATTTGGAAGGAATTAATGTGAATCAAACTGTCACATTTGGTATTGACAATCCTAAATTTGTTGGTTCAGTTTGACATTGGCTTTTGCTATGATGACCCTGTCGGTTGGAAGAATATCTAGGTAAACATGCAAAATACAGTATGAAATCCTTTCTTTCTTTCTTCTTCTTGTCTTTTTCTTTTGTTTCTTTTTTTTCTTTTTTTTGATTTCAAGAGATTGAATGGAAAGCATGTTGTGCACAAGGAATTGCTTTTAGTTTTGTAACTTCGAAAAAGTAGGGGATTAATAATGAACCTAAGTACATAGGCAACGAACTTTAGATGTCACCAATTACCTAGCCTGTCAAACCCAACCCACTCCCTCTTAAAATATTTTTACTTTACTAGCTGTGTGACTTGTAACTTATAAAGGCGGGTGTCCGTACACTTTCCAGAGGTTTTCCCAACAATCCGCCAAAAGGTAAATGACAAAAGAATTTTCTCCATTGAAAAAAGCCAAACGCATGAATAGGATTTTCTCCATTGAAAAAAGTCAAATGTATAAATTGGAAGTGAAAAACTAATCGCCCAATATCTCACAAAACAGAATTTATTACCCCAAGTATATATCATACACTCTTCTCCAAAGATGCCACCTCTGATGAACCACTCCAATTTCCTGTATCCAATTAAGAAATAAAGACTAGGGATGTCTCTCCATTTGTATTGCTCATAAAATAAATAAACAATCACTATTCAGAAAGAGGATGTACCTTGCCATCTATCTCAGCATATATTGTACTAGTTATCAACCAAAATGGCCTGCGAACCTAAAGCAAATAGTAAAAAAGATGAATGTGCAATAGTGAAAAATAAAATAAATTAACTTTGAGGGGGCATTAATTTATAACACATTACTTGATCATAGCAAAATGTCTCACCCTGAATAGTTCATTACCCATGGCATCAGTTATGTATGCAATAAAGGGCCGCCTTGTACGAAGTATCTGCAAGACATCACTATGTTCAAACTTTAGGATTCATTTCATATGACAAAGGATGCATAATCTCAATGAAAAAATTGCTATGAATGACAACAAATGGCCAGAGTTTTCTTGGCAAAGATAAAAATAATATATATGAAATAAATAGATAAAAATATTCAATAAAAATTAATTCATTGACACAATTTGGGGTACACCATGGTCAAAAGTGTATGAATTAAAAAAGAAAGATGAAGATGCTTGCGATGTACCTGCCGAATGATGGGGTTACTTTGTTCACGAATAAAACCCACGGGCTGAATACAGCAACAATCAAATTTCAGGAATCATAAAGAACAGCACATGCCAAGAAAACACATGCAAGGAAGGAGAGCAGCATACAGCTTGAGGGTAGCTAGGATCCACTATAGCATACCGGTTTTCCTGCACAATTGTAAATGGAGTTATTAAGATTACAATAAAATGGAATTAGACTTACCGACAATTAGTAATTAGACATTAGAAGAAATTAATGAGCCCGTGACTAATTTTTTAGTCAATGTCGAAAGTAATAGAAGCGCTTAAGTCATAATTTGTTTCTATCATAAAAAATGAGATGACAAGTATTAAAGGGAGAGAATTAAAAATAACAATACACAACTGTCAGGATTAAAAAAGTCAATGAAGAAAAAATATGATGAAGATTCTATCAAATACCACCACCATACATACACCAATAATTGACAAGTAGATCACCACAGTGTTTTAACATTTTAAATATGTGAATGATATCTATTAATTAAATGTCATAGATCTATTTGTTTCATCCCTTTTGTTTTTAGTTTTTTCTCTGTTACCAAGAAAAAAGGAAAATTTATAGCATTAAGTGTTGTAAATAATTTTGTATTTGTGAAAATCTCCTCAAGCCTCCAAGGTCAAGAACACTCGCATAAATCAACTGTAAAATTTTAACTGAGTTACCCCTGAACAGAGCACCAAAAATAAATAAAGAAAACCGATGAAGCATGGTTTTTTACCCACATAACCTCAGTAGTTGAACCAGGTTAACAACAGCGATCTTCCCCTTGTCATATCAATTAACAGTCCTTATTTTCCATTGGCATTCCCATTAAAGTAGACATTCATTGTTGTTAGGCACCTATTGTCAAATCTTGGAATCAAAACCCCTGAACATATCTGTCCCATAGTTTTTGCGATCAGGTATGGGATCAGAAGCGTGGTCGGGATCGGAAGCAAGGGATCATGAAAGGGTAACCGATCCTTATGGTTGGGAGTGTCATCCATACAATGCACATGTTAGGGGTCGAGATCCCCAAATATTTGGGATCTCGATCTCAACCTTTTGGGATCTTGATCCTACCTTTTGGAATCATTACAACATTTTGGGATCTTGATCCTAACCTTTTGGAATCTCGATTTCAACATTTTGGGGTAGTGAGCCTAACCTTTGGAGTCTCGATTTCAACATTTTGGGGATCTTGCTCCCAAAAGTATATATAGTCTACAACTATAAATATCTCTTTATTTAGAGCCAACAAGTAATGCAACCATATTGAATTACGAAAATTATCAGTTTGCTCGTCATAAAGGTCTTTGAGGTGGAGATAGAGATCTTCAATGGGATCGATGCCTAACATAGGCAATTGATCGATGACTAACATTGGCGATCGAGTTTCGCAAAAGTTAAAAATCGAGGTCCCCTGAAGATCCCTTTCCTGGAGGCCAGATCGAGATCCTGAACACAACTACCACCTAGTCTTGAAGATCCCGACAACTATGATCTGTCCTAATGACCTAACCAGGCATTATAATTGCTGTCCCCTTGCCTCCATCACTAGCATACAGTCAAAGCGCTCAAACGCACAAAGTAGCAAAAACCAACCAAAAACTAGAGGAAAAAAGTACTCCCACATTCCCAGCCCCTCACACTATCTACACTCAATGTTTTCATCCTATTAGCTATTGTTCTACTGTAGCTAGAGTGAAGAAATGAATGATCCACAATCTCTCTTATCCTTGCATACAGAATGTAAATATTATACAAAGACAAAAAAAGAAAATCAATGTTTAGGTGGTTAATTGTACAATATAACATGAAAGGATACACTAGGAAAGGGGCACTTGTCATCCAAATCCATATAACAGGGAAGAAGTCCCTAGCACGTCAAAAACTATTCTTGTACATAAGTCGCCAAGAAGACCAGATGACATGAACTATGTTATTCTATCCTCAAAACTCCAATATCTAATGTATATGCCAATATCTAGAGTATATGCTTACATGCACTCTACCATGCCCAAGATGCTCTCACGACCACATCTCTTCAAAGGAAAGGTATCCAACTAACAACCCCAAGAAGGCTTCTGTTAACCATTCAAATATGGTGCGTCCCTCTATTTTAGCTAAAACTAGTGAAAGACATTCACATAAAAAAGTGGTACCCATGTAGTAGGAATAATTGCCCAAGGACAAGTATGTAACTTTTTTAATATCCGTCATGTTTAACGATAGATTTTGTAATACTTATTATGTACAAGGGTGATATGATAACCTGACAAACCCTAATTTACTTGTACTTCATATTATAGAGCTGGAAATCCAACACAAAGTACCGTAGGGATTGGATGCCACATCCTTATTTCCATACACTTCCTGTCATGTTCCTTAACCACAACCTGAATTTCCTTCATAGTATTCAAGCGGTCAACTGATCTCTAGGACCACCAATTTTCACTGTAAAATCTTTCTCTTCCCCTCTAGGTCTTCCTTCTTCTTTGTCTTTCTCTTCTCCAATAAACCCATTTCATTCTTGCTCCACTACTTCACCACCATCCAGCTTTAAATCAAACCTGGACAAAATCCTAATTCATTCCCAATCTAATATCAGCCTCAAATCTCAAACTCTGCCTCTCTCAAAAACCTAACCAAAACAATGCTCATTTGAAGCCCAAATATGTGGCTCTTCTAATCTGATGTGGACAAAACCCTAATTTCTTTCTTTAATCTCAAATCAGTCTCAGATTTGAAATTCTCCCTCTCCCGATACCCTAATAAAACTTTATCTTCCTTTTTCAAAACCCTAACAAAACTCGTCTCTCAGTCTCAAAAATTTGAAAAACCCTCATATCTCTTTTTCCCTCTCAAAATCCTAATCGAAACTCTCTAATATAATATAGTAATATCTCTCTCAAAATTCTCAACATATGAGAATTTCTCTCTCTCTCTCTCTCTTTCTCTCTCTCTCTCTCTCTCTCACACACACACACACAAAAATGTCGAAGTCCCGATCAGCAAGATATTTTACGTCATTGTTTCTTTGTTGTCTACTTTTGTGAAGGATTTTCACACAAACACCATGTACATTAAGGAAAGATTTTTGGAATCTCTATATGGTGGACAAAGATCAAGATCCCTCAAAAATGTCAAAGTCCTTTTTGGTGCCAAGCATTGATGTTTTCAATAATAATGCGCTGATTTGTAGCATTACTACTTGGTTCATTTCCACCATCGACATGCAAAAGGACTACCCTTGTCTATGCAAAAGTCCTCAAATAAAGGCCCTTTATGTCAAGTTCCTTTTTTTTTTTGGGTGAATCAGTGGAGATAATGAGCCCCTACCCAAAATTCAGCAGGGAAACAGTCCCCTACCTATGGTAACAATGAAACGCAAGACGTTTTATTGTGGCACCCCGCCACCCTAAATACCTAGCATAAACCACAAAAGGCATAATTCTCTAGATGAGCCTAGAAGGGTTTGAGGGGAGGCTCGAACCTCCACCACGAGGCCCAATGATCACAAGTGCTAGCCAATAACCCAATCATATTTAGTTCAATGGGGATGGGGTCCACTACTTGTAATAGGAATGGAACTCAAGATGTCATGTTATAGTGCTCCGCCACTCTTACCACATAGCCTTGAGCCCATTCCTAAAAGGTGCACGGGTGGGAATCGACTCCCATCTCGTGGGGGTTAGATCTTCACTCTACGGCCTGGACCTTGAGGCACATGTAAAATATTTTTTAATACATAGATAGTACCATAGATTTCCTGTTACTTAGAGTTTACAATGCAAAATGACAATGAGGGGATCGAACCTCAAAACTCTCGTCAAAGAACCCACACGTCTAACCATTCCACCACTTTAATCTATTTTATTGTGTCAGTCAAGTTGGCAATCATGTAAGTGTCATGAACTCTCATTCCTTATTTATAATAAAAGAGCTTCACACCCCTTTGAGTTAATACACATTGACTTTTGGGAGCCATCCCCTAAGAGTTCTTTGTCACATTCTCACTTCTATATTACATTCATTGAAAGCACAACGTTATATATAAATATTCTTCTCGATGCCTTTCATATCTTTTCCCAATTTAAAGTTTGTCAAAACCCATTTTATAAAACAATCATTCGTTTCTGAAGTGATGGTGGGCGTGAATACACTGTCAATGCCTTTACAAAATTCATCCTTGATAATAGGATAATACACCAAAGTATAGCCCAGACACACCTGTAGAAAATGGTACTGCCAAACAAAGGCACAGGCATGTAGCCGAAACTGCCCTCTCCACCATGCAATTTGAAGCGTTTCATACAACTCTTTCCTTGATTGACAGGTTGTTGTTGTCCAAGGCACTTGAGGAGATACACCATGTTTTACATGACATGAAGTCCATCTTGGGTATTCAGGATTAAAAAATTTCAGATGCTCATGTTATGTGGCTGATGTCCATATTCACAAATCTTTATGCAAAGCTGAAATTTGTAGGTTCCTCGGCTCTGACGACCACTATAAGGTGACAGATGTTTCAGCCCCAGAACCAAGAGGACACATATATCCTGGAATGTTATTTTCGATGAACCCCATTTCATGTGAGTGGCCTTTCATGTGATGAGCATAATTAATTGCAGCAATCAGATCCAAGTGCTATTTATCCATCCATCATCTCTAATCCACAAATACCATCCACTAACATACTACTCTCAAGTGCGACTGACGAAATGCGATGTCTAAACTTCTTTCTTAGCCAATAATCAGCACCTCCACTATCATGATAGTCTCCCAGTTCAATTGCATTTTTTCCATTCCCAACAGCAAACACAATGCTACTGCTACATCATCCTCAGACCAAAGTTCTTCTCATAGTTCAGCATGTGAAAATCTTGGTCCCAACAGTGATTCAGTTCCAATAGCTTTGGCTACTTCCTGATACTCACTAGCAAATTCACTTACCACCTATCAATCACAGTACAGCATTGACACCTCACCTTCTACTGCAGCTCCTATTGATACCTCATCATCATCTTCTTCTTCAGATATTGAAGCAACTCCTCGTTCAATTGCACCTTCTTGTGATGAATTTTCTCCTATTCCACTTGGGTTATCCATGTGTAAGACACCATTAAATAAAGGGAAAGCTCCCTTTCTATGTTCCCCCTACAACATAGAAGTTCTATCCTCCCCTTTATCCAACCGTCCATTTTTGAATGGAGGGTTAAGATTGCCACAATCACAATGTCATGTCTCTACACTGTTTTAATTTTAATTTTTTTTCTATAAACTGTTTTGACACCAAATTTTGGACATCCATTCCTCTATTAAACTCGCACTAAAGAAAAATATAAAAAAAATATTTTCAATAAAATAAAATGATCAAAATACCCCTGAAAGTTTTAAGGGGTATTTTGGTCATTATTTTTTATCAAAAAATTATTGTTAATATTTTTTATAGTTGCGCCCCAATGAGAAGATGGCACGTACCAAATTTTATATTCAGAAAAATTGTATTAAAAAAACTAAAAATAAAATACTTTGAGACGTCGGATCTAAGATCAAACGGTGAGTCGTCGATAAAAAATGGACGGCTGGATGGTAGGGGGAGGATAGAACTTCTATGTTGTAGGGGGAACATAGAAAGCTTTCCCTTAAATAAATGGGTTAATTATGAGTCATTTTCTCTTGACTGTCATGTTTTCCTATTTGCAGTAGAACACCATGTAGAACCCAAACTCTATTATCTATGTTTGGAGGCCATGAACTCAAAAATGATAGCTTTGCTTGAATGTGGAGCATAGGAAATTGCTAATAAGCTAGCTCATAAAAATGTCATTGGTTGTAGATGAGCGTATAAGATCAAATATAATGCAAATGGGAGCATAGGACAGTTCAAGGCAAGACTTGCAGCTAAGATATACACACAAGACCATAGTCTCAATAATGATGAGACTTTTAGCCCTGCAGTAAGGATGGGTAATATCTGTATTGTTTTTATCATTGGTTGTGGCTTATGGATGAGAACATATCAACTTGATGTTAGAAATGCACCCTAAAGGAGAAGTTCATATGGAGCAGCCACAAGGATATGCAGAAGGAGACCCACAAACCCGTGTTTAAAAAATCGGTGTTTAAAAAATCGGTGACCCAATCTGGAATCGGGCAATCCGGATCAGGTATAGGCTGGACTGCTTTAGATCCGATCATAAAACAGGATTCGTCATTTTTCCTGTACAAAGTCGATGTGATGACGTTACGACACAATAATTTTGTACAATGAATCGCCAAGTCAATCGCGTTGTTGTCATCAAATTCGTTACGACATCATGTTCTATTTTTAATATGTTCTTAACTTTTTTTAATTTCTCTCGAACACCATTTTTTTTAAAAAAAATTAGAGGCCCCTTACTGTACACGTCATGTCAATCACGTGACCGTCTCCCATGGGGCCCATGTGCACACCTTGCATAACTTTTACTTGCTCAGCAAGTCAAGTACCGTATGGTATGAGGTAACATACCCTTTATGAGGCCTATTTCTCCCACGATTCTCAATAGATGTGGGATAACTCCACATTTATTTCTATTCTGCGCAAAGATTTTACGTGGATTTCTACTCCAGTGGGATAATTCTTGCACCATAACTTTGTTCATGTAGGACTAGGAAAAAATTTATGGCGTGAATGACTTAAGCAAACTTTTTAGGTATGGCATGAATGACTTGAGAAAATATATTCAATTAGTAGACTAGGAAAAAAAAAAAATAGTAAATGTTTTATTTAGAAATTGACCATTTATGTTCATGTAGGATGTGAATGACTTGGGGTCAATAAATTTTTTATTTTTTTATAGTCGTAAATAAAAATTTTAAATTAGATGATATTATAAGACCGTATAAATTTGTTCTTATTTGTATAATAAGATAATCATAAAATACAAACCAACAATTTTAATTTCAGTATATAATATTATAGTAAGTTAGGTTGTGATAATTTTGGATGAGTAAAGTGAATTAATGAGTGTTTTACTTTGATGCGATATTAATTTCACTTTTTATATGAGAAATTATTGTTTTAGTCTTATAATATGGAAGTGTTTGCTAATATTTATAAATTATTTTGATGCAATATTACACCATTATATTATAATTAATAGTTATACAAACATCCAAACAAGGAAATAGTGTCTCAGTATTCACCTATTTTTACAAAATAATGAAAATACATAATGCACCACTCCTAATTTCTTTTAGAAACTAAAAGAACACTTTTTTTAGAGGGTACCGTATAAGCCCATTTTTTGTACAAAGTCTGTTGACCTATTTTTTACCAAGAGTCCCATCTAGAGGGTACTCTCGGATTAACCCAAAACTGTACTCTATCTCTTTATAGCAATACAAAAGTTAACGTTTATAAAAATAAAAATAAAAAGTACAAACACTATTTTTAGAAATTTATAGTAATTTTTTGAAAAACATTTGGGACAAAAATTTCTGATTCGTCCAATTCTCCGAGCCAATCCACCGATCCGACAAGGGTATGGGTGTGAACGATTCGTGTCATTGATCCGCTTTTTTAAACACTGGCACAGACTAAGGTTCTTCGACTTAAGAAAGCAATATATGAATTGAAACGAATCTCTGGCATATGGTCCGATAACTTCTGTAAAGTGATCCAGTCTCATGGTTCATTAGGAATCTGGTTGATTATTCATTATTCAATTGCTTAGGAGATCATGGCCTAACTATTATTTTGGTATATGTGGGTGATGTTTATATCCAAGTATGTTTATATCCAAGTAGTTTTCTCTCTCACAATGACAATGTCAAGCAACTTATCAATGATACACCAGATGAAAGACTTCAGACCTCCAGTATTTTCTTGGGATTGAGGCAGATAGAAGACTAGTACCTTGATCTTAACCCATCACAAGTAAGTTATTGACTTGCTTAAGCATAAAGGGATACTAGATTATAAGCCAACACAAGTAGCTACAGTCCTTTAACTCTCACACAGATGTTGCAGAACCTATTCCCACGTGTTGACGAATACGCAGCATTGCTGGAGCACTACAGTATTTAACAGGCCTACCATGTTTGTTCTGAAACATATTTCTTAGTATATGCTTTCACAGCCGATCTCAAATAGTTGGGATAAGATTAGATGGTGATGATGATGCTTTCACCCAAGATGAGTCACATGAAAGATGTGAAATGCATTCTTGGATACATCAAAGCAACGATCACCGACGGACTTGTTTATTCTCATCCTGCTTCGCCCTCCTCATCAACAACTTTAGTGGTGGTTGCCTTCTCCAATGCTGATTGGGCAGGAGACTGCAACACTATCATTCTATGGGTATTGTGTCTCTCTGGGTCCTCATCTTGTTTCCTAGATTTGTCAGACACAATGGACTGTTGTTCAATCTAGTACAGAGGCCAAGTATTGTTACATGGCAGCAGTTACAGCAGAACTGTCTTGGATATGACATCTCCTTACTACATTGGGTCAAAACATTGAATACTCATTATATTGTGACAATCGCAACACTATTTCCATATCATTAAACCATATTTACCATGGAGAAACTAAACATATAGAGATAGAGCAACATTTTGTTCAAGAGAAGATCAAGGATCAAGAATTCAAAATGTCTTTGTGAGCAGTGAGGGCCAAACAGTGGACATTTTTAGCTTTTCACCAAGGTACTTCATTAGACATTAGTTTCTCAAAGCCAACTGTTCACAGTTTTTATCCCATATACAGTTTGAGGGGGCTGTTAGGAATGTCTGAGAACAAGAATATAACTTTTGTAATAATCTATGTGTAAGGGCAGTCCTCAGTCGTCGTAATATTTATCATGTACAACGGTAGTCCGGTAATCTAACCAACCTAGTTCACTTGTAACACTTTATATATCAGTGGAGTTGGACGTCCCTCTAAAAGTCACTGGTGGTTCTGGAACAGGATTAGAGTGATTTCAGGGACTAAACCAAGAAGCCCGGCCTTGATCATCGATTGGGCGGCATCCTCACACTCGTCCAGGGCTTGGTAGTTCATTCCTGATGAAGGTTGGGCCAGGAAGAGCGACTGAATGATACTGCCCTGCCTGAGCCAACTCTCAGATCTACGGCTATCTCTTCTAATAAAATTTATCTTGAAACATAAGGATTGGACATCACATCCTTGCTGCCATACATTTCTTGTCTCTTAACCATGACTTGAACTTCTTTCACCATTCCATCCCTTCATTTATAGGAATGTCCACCAAAAAGTCCCAATCATTTTATTGATGGGGCATACGATCCAGAGATATTTGTTCTCCTCTTCCACCTTCTGTCCCTTATGTCAGTAACCACATACTTTCATTGTAAAAGTCCTATAGCATCATTTTCCTTTGATTAATCCATTAAGCATAATAAAAGATTGGTAAATCTACAATTTGTTTTTATTCTTTATAATTTGAAGCTATTACAAGGATTTTCAAACACAGAACTTGATACGGTTGCTAAGAAAGGAATCCAAAAGGCTAGTCCATGGACCTCATCAACTTCGTTAAGCAGGTAGGACTCCCAAACGATGGGCTGAACCAATTTATGCACATAAGCACAAACTCACATAATTAACTTTACCAAACTCTCAAGTAGAACAATTGCCATGTGAATGAATAACTGCTGTGTGCACATACACACATGCTGAATGCTTACAAAAGCTTAAATAACTTCAGAAATAATACTACCTGTTCAAATCCAAGAACAAGATTAGCCCACTCAATATCTCTGGTAATTAGCAAATTAGCTCTAGCAAGTAGTGGTTCCACCTTGACCTATAAGCAAGAAAAAGTAACAAAGTTCATTAGAAAGCACCACAGTGACAGAACAGCCAAAGAGTTTCCAAATGTAAATACTATGAAGTACTGTAAATATACTAAATAAGTTTTAGTCCTACATTGAAAACTCAATCATTTCTCCGCTAATTGTTTGCACACTAGTTAGCGCTCCCTCATACATATCTCTCACCAAGTCAAAGGAATCCCCAGACACTACATTGACTTGGTGAGAGATATGTACAAGGGAGCGCTAACTAAGGTACAAACAACTAGTAGAGAGACGAGTGAGTTTTCAGTAGTTGACCCCATATCTCTTTGTCTTAGTTATGGATGACTTAACAAGGTATCTACAATATGAGGTACCGTGGAGTATGGTGTTCGTGGATGATATAGTTTGGATCGATGAGACCCAAAATGGTGTCAACACAAAACTTTGGAGGGATGCTCTAGAATCTAAAAGTTTTAAAATTAACCGAACTTAGACAGTATATCGAATTGAAATTTAGTAATAATAAGAGTAGAGACGAGGAAATAATTGAGATTGACGGTCAATAAATACCAAAGACCGCAGTTTCGATATCTGGGTGGGCGAACTAGAGATGTGCAACCAAAATTTTATATAACCATCACATAGCAATGAAGCTGAAGGGCAAGTTCTATAAGACAGAGACCAGCTTTGCTTTATGGGGTGCAATGTTGGGCGGCTAAGAAGCAACATACCCATAGGATGAGTCTTGGCTGAGATGGATGAGTGGCAAAACAAGAAGGATAGAATTCGAAATGAATATGTTCGAAAGAACTTAGGTGTGGCACTAGTAGGCGATGAGATGAGAGAAAATAGACTTAGGTGGGCTGGCCATGTGCAGCGCAGACCCAGTACAACACATGTTAGGAGGTGCAAATTAGTTCAAGTGGAAGGCTAGCCCAAAGGAACCTAGTTGGAAGTAGTGAGAAAAGATATAAAGACTTGTACCTCAATGAGGGTATGGCTCTTGATAGAGCAGAATGGCAGACCAGGATTCGTATAGCCGATCCCAAATATTGTTGTAAATACAATGATAAATTTTTTTCAACGATAAAAATGACATAAAATAATAGTTGGCTGGTTTGTTTCACATCCAAACACAAAGTTCCCATAAAGAATTGAGTATAGGACAAGTGGTCGGAAAATCTGACACAAACAATAAAGGAAGGCTCATAAACAGACAGAAGCAGTTACCCCTCCTCAGCAAGTGAAAGCTAGGAACCCATACTTATTTTAGACCCATACAAGATTCTAAGAGACTTGCCATAGGAGCAGACGACTATCCTCAAGTGACACAGGCGGATTGTTTTTTTTGTTTTTTTCTCCTACGGTTAATAAGTTACATAGACTTGCCAAAGCCTCCTAATCTCCCAAAACATGAAAGTAGCACTCCTATAGTTTTAAAAGTGACTGAGCAACTTTGTGAATGAGTAGGATTATGCCTGAACATCATTGAAGGAAGCATTTCCACAGTTTTAAAAATTTTCTCGAAAAATAAATGGAGGAAACACAGAGCTCATGGCAGTTTCTTAACTCATCATGTAAATAAAGAATAGATAAAATACTGCATGCCATTTGCAATAAACCATCAGATTTAAAGCATTAATAAGTTTCCCCATCCACAGCAGAAAACATGGAGTTCAGTTCAGTCTTTCATTGATCCTCATAAAATGATCTAGTATCGTAAATATATCCTGCATGCTCAAGTCATTTTCAAGAGTTAGCATCAAGCAATACGAAGCGACAAGCCAAAGACTATGGCTGTAGCGCCCTTGCCAATACGATAAAAGGTCTACGAGTAGTGTTAAATTCATCTTAGAAATAATAATGGGTCCACAACATAATTGTAAAGAAAGAATCTCATTCTAATTGACGATCTTGAGTAAAATTCTCATTCTTTTGGATGAACTCATTTATCTTAGAAAAAATGAAAATATGTTGGTGCAACCATAAAACCCATGGTTACACAAGCATGTCCCATTCAACCACCAATCCTCTTGGTTAAAAATGATCATTCTAGAACAGCCAGGTTGTGGCAGTAGATCTTATAAAAATTCATCAGAAGATTTGAGAAATGATGAGTTCGATTTAAATAGAGAAATGAGCAACAAAAAAGCACGCAAAGGATCACTTACTAGTTACTTCTGCAACTCGGTTTAAGCACATTCTATGTAACGACAGCTATTTTATCATCAAAAGTTAGTTGATTCCATAGATCCTCGAAATCATGTAGTAAAAACATGCAGCAAATGGAAAGGTATTAAATGAATTATTTCCATAAAAGATGGTTAGCATAACAGGTATGAAATTATTTCCACTAAGATAGCTAACATGAAAGGTATTAGATGAATTATTGCCATCAAAGATGTTTAGCATAACTACTACAAGATGCTTACTTACCTCTTCCAGTGAAGTTGGCTTCATAAAACCAGACATGGTTTGGCTCAAAGGCGGCTGCTTGAGATGGGGAACTTCCTTAGCTGCATTTTGAGTATGTATGTCAGATGCACCTTGAAACCACCTCACAAATGGCAACTGAAAAGAAGAATGGGTGTTATAAAATGTTTCTGCATCTCTGGCATTTCGAGGCATTCCTTTATTCCTCTTACGAAGGGTTTTTTTTTTCCTCCTTTCCTCAAGCCAAAGCTGCGCAAACCATTCCCTACTTAAGCAAGGCTCTTTTCCTGCAGCCTTACAATACCAACTGGTCCTATGTAGAGGACTTGGTTTTAGAAGCCCATATCTTGAACAATTTGAAGAAGGTATTTTGGATGAAGGATTGATTGAGAACATATGTGACAAAAAATCATCTTGTGATTTTCCAAACAGAGCACTGGATTGTACAGTGCTATCAGAATTAACAACTTGTTCTTGACATCTTTGAGCTATTTTGCAATAACTACAATAACTGCAACTCCTGATCTCATTCATAAACTTTGACGACATACAATAACGAAAAGACTTCTCAAACTTCAACATCTCTCGACTTCTTGGGGTATTGTAAGCTCAAACTATATTAAGTCGTGATATTAAATGAAGTAAGATGAGACCTACACACAAAAAAGAAAAAGAACAGCAAATGTAATTGCAATGACTTGAAACTTAAGGAGCAAAATAAAATTCCATCAATCTTTTTAGATGTCATAAAACTATCATATTAATACTTGATCAAAGTATAAACAAAATAGCCCCAATATATGCATTATCGCTTGGCCTACTTCATAATTTGGATCAATGCAAATTAAGAAAAACAACCAATGTGGGTGAGTTCATTTACTCCCGAAAAAAAAAAACCCCATTTTGATACCAATACAAAGAAGAAGAATTTGATTCAAGGCTAAAATAATTCTATCCAACAGATGAGAGATGTGGATAAAGATTAACAACTACGAGATTCCAAATCGTGTTTGCCAATAGATCCTGTAGGTACTTAGGCTTAGAATTTTACTGACCATATTATGTATTCATAAAGATTTACATAAGAATACATCCATATAAGTAGTTTTTTTTTTTTACCAATAAAATTCAACACCTTTAAAGTATTCACTGATATTATCTGTGTTTCTTATAATTATAAAGGAACCACCTCAAGATTTAGCAGGCTTAGGGACAAGCAAGAGTCAGCTCAACACTAGCAATTTATTTAGAATTTATAATAAAACATAGACATGAGCTTACTGCTACAAATACATTCAGAGAAATTATTACCCAAAAATGGACAAGAGTATTAGGCATGGCATAGATGACAATGTACATAAAACACCGAACACAAGTTTCAAAGACTCCTGATAAATAAGTCTAGATGAATTTCTCTAAGCCCAGGTTGGTGTAATGGGGATTCTTAGAAACCTAAGCCATGTAGTTCCATATTCTCCTGAAATTAGAAAAACCTAAAGCTCGTTAATTCCGGGAACTCGTTCCTTTACTGATTAGAATTCACCAATACACGTATGAGATAACAATCAAAAAAGAAAAAGCTAAACATCAGCTTAATTTTTCCAAGATATCCAGAATAAATAAAAATCCTAAATATTTATGAACGTCCATATATAATTTCTATTTCTATAGAAAATTGCACGTTCGTACAGCAAAGCCCTAAACTTGCATGCCATTCAGAAAATGAAATTGTAATTTTACAAATAACGAACTATTTTTACAGAAAAAAATTGTGAAATTTCACAACACTGACAAAAAAATGGAGATCAAAGACTAGATCATCTACCATAAAATATTAAAGCACGAGGGAATCAAGAATAACGCACCTAATCCGAATACTGCTTTTTCAGAATCTAAACCAAAAAGGAGGTCCAAACCCTGTCTTGGAACTGAAAAAAGAATACCAGTTGCTCGATGAAAGAGGGAGAGGGCAGAGAATTCAGATACCAGACATACGGCAGCCGAAAATGCGCCTGAGATAGTGTAGAGATTGTATTTAAATTTTGAGACTTAGGGGAAAGGGTTCAATTTAGAGAGAGAGAGAGACTTTACTGTTGGATGTGAGAGGCTGGCGTTTTAAGGAAGGGAAAAGTTTACATGCGGTTGCAACCGTAAATTATAGAATTAAAAGTGCACTTAAAAAACCCATCATAAAGTTGTTTGGATGTTGGAAAACTCTCTTATTGATGAATGAATATTAGAAAAACAAAGACTTTGAGTTCGTAAAATGGTGTATCTTACAACATATTATCTGGACTGTTTATTTTTAAAAGTTTGAAATTTTATAATTAAAGATGGAAATAAATTCTCAACCATCTTAAAAAAATTTTATATCAAATTTATATCTATGATAAAATATTGAGATGCACCTTGGATTATTTAAAATTACAATCTTATGCAAACCACACCTTTTTAAAACAAAGTGGGGTTTAGGGGACACTAAATCTTGGAAAAGTACTTTGCACTTTTGGGATGCATGGAAGAGTCATAGTTTTTAAGAGGTAAAACTCAGATTTTGGAACCCATGTGGATATTACTTCAAAGCCAAAATAATGAGTTTTTAGTATGGGCCTCATGTGTTCTGCATTCTTCTTAAGAATGTGCAGAAAGAGTAAGTAGATGTGTCGGTAAAGAGCAAAAAAAAGAGGGTGAGTATTGTAGAGAGACAAAATCATGTTTTAGGGTTTGTGGGATAAAGGTCAGTATTTGAGAGAGAGAAAATCATGTTTTGGGTTTGTTGGGGGCCTCAAAATTATTTTTGTCTTGCATTTATCTAGTTAGTGTAAGAGAATTTTGTGGTCTCGAAGATATAGACGATTTCCAAATTATGTAAATGTTGGTTTTTTGCTCTTTTAATTTTATGTGCCACTTCCGTTCTTTTTAATTTTTAACCAAGTATTGAGTCATTTCCATTGCACTCTTCTTTTACCATTGTCCATTCCATTAGGGGACATGTTTGTATGTGACTCAACAACATATAAGTTATATACGATCTCATTTTTTAGGCGTTCGATCTGAATCGAACGGTTACGATTGTTCATACCACAATATTATGTCAAACACTGCTTTCTTTTTTTCTTTCTTTTTTTCTACAAAATATTTTTTGATGAAATTTTGGTCGTCTTATCATAAAATTAGAGCGAACCTGGAAAAATAACATATATATATATATATATATATATATATATATAATAATATATATATAATAAATAAANATATACAACAAACTACCTATATTGTAGGTTNTTTATTATTCTATACTAACTAAATTTAAGT